AAAACAAAAGTAATTTTTTAAAAATTGGCTATTAGACTTTCCTTCACAATCACAGAGGTAAAAATGATCTTAGTACTTTAAATAACATATATTGCAACCTGGAAGATTGGATTACATAAATGTCAAGATATTTGTTGAGCACACTGCTCTATCAAATTCCAATAACAAGAAATTATAAAACTTCAGAACAGTGTAGCAGAAGAAATCAAAATTCCATACCTCAGTCACTGCTATGGAAAAGGTGAGGGAGGGCAGTGTGGTGAAGACCACACACATCATCAGAACAGGTCTCCTAGCAAAGGAGAAAAAATAAGCCAAAGCAATCATGGACAAGATCAACAGTTCCTCTTACATGTTGCTAACTTTGCAGTTCCTGTTCCATTCATCTACAGTTTTTCTAAGAAGCTGCTGCTTCCCTATTTCCATTTCCCAAACGTTTGAGTATGGCAAACAGGAACACATGCAGAAGCCAGAATGCTTCTTCTAGAACAAAGGAGTGAGAGATTTCCAAATAATTAGCAAACCACGAACTATTAAAAGCATCAAATCACAAGTCAAATGACATTCAACATTTTCATAATTTGTTAATTAAAATCCTACCCAAGAGGTCAGGCTATAGTGACAACTGAATAAATTAACAGCATGAATTTCAAGTTATATTATACCCCATGTTAGAAAATTTATTTTTCAAAAAATACATTTAGAGATGATAAACTATTAGATACTGAAAGATCACTGAAAAACATTTAAATTTTTTTTTACTGAAACCAAAAAAATAACATACATACATAAAAATGACATAACTTTTCAAACTTGAATTTTGACCACTTCTTAAACCTTACATTATCAACCAATCAGATAGCTATTGATACATAATATGTATAAAATAGTATATTGTATGACTGATAAAATTTAAATGTATGTTTAGTCTCCTTAATTTCTGGGATGACAAAAGATACTTACTGAAAGGTTTTCTTCAAAGAAATATTTACCTCCTCTTTGATTTGTTAATATTATGTTAATTCCATTTATATAATTATGTTTTCTACATTCAATAATTTGTTGAATGCTTTCAAATTATTATTTCTCCACAGCCATAAAAAAGAATGAAATCTGTCCTTGGCAGCAACATGACTGTAGCTAGAGGTCATTATCCTAAATGAATTGACTCAGAAACAGAAAGCCAAATACTGTATGTTCTCTTATAAGCAGGAGCTAAACGTTGGGTACTCGTGGACATAAAGATGGGAACAGATACTGGGGACCATGACAGAGGGGAGGGTAGAAAGGGGCCAGAGTTGCAAAATTACCTATTAATCCCTGGATGTTGGGATTAATCACACCGCAGACCTTAGCATCATGCAACATACCAGTGCGACAAACATGCACATGTACACCCTGCATCTAAAATAAAGTTGAAATTATAAAGAATAAAATAATAATAAAACAATTTCTCTGTGATGCTGTCTTGCCTCCTCCATCCCAGCGCCATCTTAGAAGTCCTAGGTTTAAATGTAAATTAGAAGATGAGATGGCCCCTCTCTCATAGCCAGACGCAGTACAACCTGGCTAAGACTAGTTTGATGGAATTTTCAACTGGAAGTGTCTGTTTGTCTGAGCCTAGATCCATGTTCCTACAGCACTAAGTTCTCTAAGTAAGATTGGAACAAGCCACTCATAAAGTTCTCTTCTTCTCAACTTGACCTCTAAACAATGACAGTGCCCCAGAGATTATCCCCGGGCCTATTCTTTATCTATATGATCTTCTTGGATAATCTCATCCATTCCCATTGCTTCAAATACCACTCATTTGCCCAGGACTCTGCAATATATCCTGGTGTTTTTCCTGAACCCTGACTTGTCTACCCAACTGTTAGAGACTTCCACTTGGACGGCAAAGATGCAATTCAGACTTACCATGTCCGAAACAGAACCCAAGTCCTCCACCATACCTATTCCAGTCCATCATCTAATCCCGTCTGATTTACTGCCAAAGTCCATTTCAAATCCATTTTCTGTCAACACCATAGTTCATCCACTGTCACCTCTCGTCTGCCATATTCCCCAACTGGTTTCCTGTTGGCACTTCTATTCTTGCCTAGCAACATTGTCTTCATGCTTTTTAAATGAAGTCATGCTTTTAAAATGTCAAGCACATCATGTTACTGCTCCAGTGATGAGGAAGGGAAGGGGGTTATTGGTTAATGGGTACAGAGCTTTAGTTTTGTGAGATAAAAAGTCTCATGGATGATGGTAGCAATAGTTACACATTAATGTGAATGCACTTAATGCCACTGAACTGTACCTTAAAATGATTAAGATGGTAAATTTTACATTATGTGTATTTTATCACAATTAAAAAAATCTTTAATGGACAGACAATGTGATTAGAATAAAATTGAAACTTATTACACTAGTCTACATGCTGTACATGATCTGGTTTCTCTTATTGCTCCTCCTCTCCTACATACAGGCAGGCACACACACACACATACACACACACACACACACACACACGTGCATGAGTTGTATACACAGCCCTTATGACTATCTAAAAATCTGCTGATTCTCTGTTTACTGTTTGTCATCTTCCTCTTTCCTCGTCCCCCGAGGTAAGTTCTGTGGAAGCAGGGACCTTCACTGACTTGTTTGCTACTTTATTTCCAGCATCTCGAATAATGTTTCTGAATCATTTTTTGTGTGGTGAAACTTCTGAAGAATCTAGTGTACCCTATGAACGCTTCTCAGGACAACACTGCTAAATGAGTAAAATAAAATACACAGATTTTTAGAAAATAAATCAATTATCTTGAAATTATCCAAAATGCTTTAATTACCCAAAATCTTTTTTAAAGTTGAATACAGTTTACAGCTTTCTTTTTAAGAATTATGTAGTAATCCAAATTCTTTTTAAAGTTTGATGTAACAATATATGTGTCTATCTATGAACACATTATCTTGTTTTATTTTCTTTGGAGCAGGCCAGGCCTAGTGGCTGAAGCCTGTAATTCCAGCACTTTGGGAGGCTGAGGTGGGTGGATTACTTGAGCCCAGGAGTTTGAGACCAGCCTGGGCAACACAGCGAAACCTCATTTCTACAAAAAAAAAAAAAAATACAAAAATTAGTCAGGTGTGGTGGCATGTACCTGTAGTCACAGCTACTTTGGAGGCTAAGGCAAAAGAATCCCTTGAACCCCAGAAGACAGAGGTTGCAGCAAGCCAAGATCATGCCATTGCACTCCTGGGTGACAGAGCCAGACCCTGTCTCAAAAAAAAGAGGGAGAGTACTTAAGATCTACCAAAAATTGTAATCATTCATAATTTCAAGTTAGTGAAGATCATAAACCATATACTGAAGTCTCTCCTACAACTGTTGTGCGCTATGGAAAGATCTGTGATATACGGTATAAAAAGCTCTATGTAATAAAGTTACAGGTTCTGCTAACACTACTGTGGTTTGTTACCAACATCCATATCAGAAAAGATTGGTAGTTTTCAATTAGAGGTTAATGAAAGAAACGATGTAAATTATTTCTCATCTAAGTTCAAGAACTCCATGATGCTAGAGAATGTCCAACACATAGTAGGAATTCAATAAATACTAAATGAATGGACCCATTAGTAAATATATAACAACCCAAGTGTATGTTTTATTTAACTAGAAGATATGTTAACCTGTGTTTGAAAATCTTGACTTACTGCTAGGATATGCTTATAATTTTTTTTTTTTTTTTTTTGAGACAGAGTCTCACTCTTGCCCAGGCTGGAGTGCAATGACGCAATCTTGGCTCACTGCAACCTCCGCCTCCTGGGTCCAAGTGATTTTCCTGCCTCAGCCTCCTGAGTAGTGGGATTACAGGCGCACACCATCACACCTGGCTAATTTTTGTATTTTTAGTAGAGACAGGATTCACCATGTTGGTCAGACTGGTCTTGATCCACCCGCCTTGGCCTCCCAAAGTGCTGGGATTACAGGTGTGAGCTGCTGCACTGGCTGGAAATGCTTATAATTTATTGAGTATCATGGATCAAATGGTATCTCCAAAAAAAGATATGTTGAAATCCCAAACCCCAGTACTTCAGAATGTGATCTTATTTGGAAATAAGATCTTTACAGAGATAATCTAGTTAAAATAAGATCATTAAGGTGGGTCCTAATCCAATATGACTGGTGTTCTTATACAAATGGAGAAATTTGGTGACAGAGTTGCAGAGAGGGAAGACTATGTGAAGAAACCTAGGAAGCATACCATGTGATAAAGGCAAAAATCCAAGTGATACATTTACAAGCCAAGGAACCATCAAAGATTGCCAAAAAACCACCAGAAGCAAGGAGAAAGACATGGAACAAATTCTCTCTTATATCCATTTGAAGGAACAAATCCTGCTATCTTGATCTCTGTGTTTTCACCCCTGGAGCTTTGAGGCAATAAATTTATGTTGCTTAAGCCATCCAGTCATTAGTACTTCATTATGGAATTTCTAGGAAACTTACACTGATTTTGTGATTGGACTGTGGAATGCTGCTGTAACAAACACCCAAAAATGTAGAAGTGGTTTTGGAATTGAGTGATGAGTAGAAACTGAGAGAGTTGTGAGAGGCATGACAGAAAAAGCCTAGGTTGCCTTGAAGAGACTGTTGGTAGAAACACAGGTGTTAAAGGAGATTCTAGTGAGGGCTCAGAAGGAAAAGAGGAAGGTTATGGAGAAAGCTTTCAGCACCTTAGAGAATAGATACATTGTTATGAACTGAGTATTGCTAGAGATATGAATCCTAGGGTGCTTCTGGTGACGTTTAAGATGGAAATGAGGAAAACATTATAGGAAACTGGAGAAAAGGTGATCCTTTCTATGAAATGACAGAAAATTTGGCTGTACTGTGTTCTATTGGATACAAAGTAGAACTTGTAAGTAATAAACTCAGATATTTAGCTGAAGCTGTCTCTAAGAAAAGTGTTGAAGGCACAGTCTGGTTTCTTGCTGCTATTTATAATAAAATGTGAGTGAAGGAAGAGAGATAAATTGAAACAGAAACTTTTAAGCCAGAAGGAACTAGAACTTGAAAATTTGGCAAATTCTCAGGCTATCCATATTGCAAATGATAAGAAAGCATGTTCAGAAGAGAACACCAAGGTTATGGTTTGTGAATCCAGCCAACCATCTCAGCAGAAACACTGCTGGCTTGGACTGAAGGTGACAGAGTTAAGATGGAATGAAGAAATGCTGTTGTACTTCTAGGACTTTAGGGAGGAAATGGGCTGATAGACCTATTTGGCTGCAAATGTGTTATCT